TATTTGGCCATGTCCCTGCACAGGCAGTCACAGAAGCTAAGCTGGTGTCTGTCACTGGCCAGGGCACTGGGGGATGTCTTCCCCCTTAGCTGACCTTCAGCTGTGGGGAACTGCACCACAGGTTAGGGCCAGAAGACACCCATCTGTTACCATGGTAACATCAAACCAGATTAAATTTCCAAACATATGCTCCTGGTTACAAACTCCCCCGGCAAAGTGGGGGAAGGCTTAGATGATGGGAAAGTTCCCTCTACTACATTTGCTCAGCCTTGGAGTTGGGTTACTTGAAAATACACAGCTATATTTAACCCCTGGGATACATTTCCAAAAATCCTATGCTAGAAATCCACAGAGAAGAAATGTGCTTGTGAGGCTTTTGATCTTCCAGCAGGGCTGCTCCCCTGAATTAGCAGCACATGCCCCGGCAGCAGAGCCCTGCTTGGCTTTGGGACTCAGAGGGGCTGGAGCAACAGCCTGGAAGATTTATTACACCTTCCTACAGCAATGTTTGGACAACACTGGCTGTATAAAACTGCTCAAAACGTTTAGAGGAGCAGGTTAAAGTGGGTGCCTGTTCTCAAAGAGCAGAGACAGAATTATTTTCTGTGAGAAAACAGGTAACTAAGATTTTTTTTTTTTTTTTTTTTTTTTTATAAATAGGGCAGCTATTTTTAGTTATTTATACATAACACAGCAGCTCCCTCCTTTAGCGGGTATTACACACACATAGAGAGCTGCTCGGGTCATGCAGATGCATGCACATGGTTCCAGCTCATATTATTCCTTCCAACCAAGTCATGAATGTGTGAGCCCACCTATAACCTGTGAGTATGGACCACATCATGGCAGCACTCACATCTGTTACATCAATTCACTAAAGTTCTCGAGAAAAACAACTCAGAAATATGACTAACACATGCCATACTCAGAAATTAGTAATGGAGATTTCAACATCTATGCTCTTTTGACAATAAAAAAAATAATTCATGGAGCTGGCAAGGATCACACTAAGGAGGGGAGTGGTTACCTTTCCCCAACAGCTGAATTAATATTCTCAGTACTGTTCAAATCAAAACCAAGGTCCTCACCATGGTGGAAAATTTCCATACAAACTGTTCCTTAGGAGTTACACACATTACAAAATAGCTCATTATCAGAACACAAAAAATCAGTCAAATATGAAAATAATAGTCAAATTCCCATCACTAGAAGCAAGGTTTCCTTGAAAATTAAATTATTTTATGAAAACACGGCCTTCATCCCAACTTCCATACAGTTCTTGGGAAGAAATGCTGGCTCTGACCCACACTGGAGTCAGTACAAGATCCTTTGTTTCCAAGACAAACAGCAGTAGGAAGACTGGGTGATACTAGTTTACCACTACAGCTTCATATCTGCATCAGAAAGAGACAATTCTTAAAAACGTCCTGTCAACACACGAAAAAAATAAATACCTCCCTTTTTGTGTTTGAGAACAGATACAGACACAAAGTGATCCAGAAAAATATTAAAGCCCGAGCACCAACCCACAGGCGAACCACAGTAACTTCCTCACATATTTATAGGAGGTGCTGTGATGTTAGTTAAGCCTAAGTACCTTTCTGTTGCTCCAAATTCTTGTCCTGGGTGTCGCATAACTTCCCCAGACATAGGAAGATGAAAGTCTGGTGTATCCACCCACAGGTTCTCCAATTCTCTTCCTTTCAGTTTTGCTATATTCATACGTATATAATGTAGCATAGACAACTATGCACTTTGGGTTTTATCATTTTACAACTGCAAATGGTATGAATCTTTTTACAAGAGGTAACATTCAGCACTTACAAAGGCACCCACAACAGTAAGAATAATCAATAGTACCTAGGAGGGCAGGTACCAACCTCCCATGATCTGCAAGATGCCACATGTTAAACTCTAAAATCATGCCCTAAACAAGAAGCAAATAAAAAAAAAGGGAAAATATCTGTTTTTCTATAAACAAACAATATCAACAGAGATAGCCCTACTCAGGTTTATTCACCTAGGTCCTCTTTTCAGAACTGTGTAGGAGAGGAAACTGGCCTTGATTTATTGCCCTTCACCCAGTTATCAAGAACTATGACAACATTTTCTGGGGTTTGAAAAACCCAAATACTGCAATGCTCTCCAAATGTTCTTGGTCCCAGAGCCTGAGCTCCATACAAGTACATCCTCTCTTACCCACAGTATTTTCTGCATCCAGCTGGAACTAATCATCAGAATTACAGTACAAAAATATGGAGGTTGGGGGGAAAAAAGCCCTGAAACAGATTTTATGCAGAGGACAAGCTATAGAATAGTCTGTAATAGATTATATAAAAGCCAGCCAACTCTTATCTGGAGCAAAGGAAGACAGGAATACTCCCCTCAGCAGAAAAACCCAGACAGGATGATGATGGGAGGAAAGGTTCTCACCTAAGTGATTTTTCATGGAGCCAGTGGGGACCTTGTCATGTCATTTTTGGCACTGGGATGAGACTGATAAGCATGGATGGTCCCACATTGTTCTGCAGTACTAAACTTCACTTGACAAGGCTTATTAGCACTGGCTTGGAGCCTGACAGACCCAAGCTGTCTCTAATGCTCAGTTTGGGCCAATTTGACTGGTCTCTCCAACACTGTGAACAAGGCAGAGAGGCTGGATCTGGCTCTGCAGAGAGCTCCCTCAGATTTGGCATCACCAGCTTGGGACTGAGCCACATGGAAGTGAAGACACTTCTTTTCCCCATGTCCTTTAATGGATTTGGGACTACACAGATTTGGTCCAGCTTTCTAAGCTGATACACCTGGCTGGGAGTGAGCTGATTCATCACAGCACAGCTCCTGTGCCTGCTCAAGGCATTGGGACTCTACAAAGAGAAAAGAGGACAGTAGAAGGTTTTCTTCCCTCTGAGATTTGCAATGAGCAAAGTTAAATCTCCATTTATTGGTGCTTGCTTTTTTTTTTTTTTTAATCCCCCCAGATCACCTCATCTGTGGTGCTCACCTTTCAGTATGGATATGGACACTTCTAACTGAAAGATGGATTTGAAAGAAGACTGGACATTACCTAAGTATCTAGGTGGCCTTAGATACACTCTGAGCCAGGGTCACCAGACACAAACACCAGTTACCACACTCTGCAGGACCCTGTAAGCTGTATTAATAGAGTACTCTGAAAGGCAAAGGATGAAGACTGCTGTACCTAAAACAAGCACTATACCACGTTTGTCCTGGACCTGACAAAGGGCTGTCTCCCTAAGCACTGCAAGTAACTGCATGAACACCACCCCTATGAAGATTCCTATGTTCTGCCTTAGAAGAATCATGGAATGATTTAAGTTGGAAGGATCCTTAAAGATCATCTAGTTTCACCTTCCACTAGACCAGGTTGCTCTAAGCCCCATCCAACCTGGCCTTGAACACTTCCAGGGATAGAGCAGCCACAGCTTTTCTGGGCAACCACAGTATTTTTATAGTCAGATGACAAAGAGCTCTGTAAGCATGTGCACTTGATAAAAAGCCCTAGGCGTAATTCTCATTTTCCTCACATGAGGAAAGCTTCTGGGTATGCCCAGCTGTGACTGCAGGTCTTAGGAGTGGGGGGGACTGTCCCACTCACCACTACCTCCTGAATGAGTAATATCAGTGGAGTAATGTCAGAGGAGGCAGCACAGACCAAATGCGTCCTTCCAGCCCTGTCCAGCATTCCTGACCCAGCACATGCCCCCTGCATGCCTCTGGTTATAACCTGATCCGGCTTCCATAAGCAACCTGCTACATGCATCCCACTATCCAATAGAGCAACACTCTCTTCATTGGCAATAACGACTTGAAGTGACTTTTTTAGCTGCAATGTCCCGCAATTGGTTACAGACTCCAGTCCTGAATGAAATTCACTTCTTACAACACACTTGTGGAACATTAAATTATAGTAATTGTCAAAATTTTCTCATTATTTACACTCCAGACAGCTGCTGTGGCTACAGCAAGAACAGCAACCACCTTCTTCAAAGCAGCAAAAAGGAGCAATGATAAATCTTTCTGATGGCTTGCTTTTTACAGAGCGCTTGCTCCACGGTTTCAACAAGATTGGCAACTTCCAAGAAACAACAAAAAGCCAAAGGGGAAGAGCAGAGCAGAATGTGGGTTTTGACTTAAGATGTCAAGCTCTCCTTAAATCTTTATTTTATTTTACTACATGAGTGGCTGTGCTCATGTTGAAGTCATGAAAGTAGGAGCAGTCAGGAACACTCATAAAAATACAAGAAACATTAAAATAGCTTCACACAGAGAACAGACATCCAAGTGTCCCAAAGCAAGCATTTGCAATGCCAAAAGGAATCAGAATTTATGTTGTAAAATGACTTTTCATCAAGATACAGAAGGAAGTAACGTGTTTGAAGTATCATAAATTTTAAATACCCTAAAAACCAGTTTTTTATTATTTGTGTTCTTAATAAAATTCTGCTATACCTTTAGCAATACTGAAAGCAAATACAATCTTGAGGTGTTTTATGCCTTTCATTTTCCTGGACTGATTTTTGGTTCTCCAGGTTTGAATATTAAACACAAGCAAGATACACACCGATTTCTTATTTGTCAACAAATTGCATCTTGAATTTTATGATTTTTTTTCTTTTCATTCATATTGCTCATTTACTTTGTTTCATTTCAAAAGATACAGGAACTCAATCATACTTTCAAATATCTAATTCTTTATTTCTATGTATTTCTGTTCAATTATGTGATATTTCAGAAATTTACAGTTGCAATGTAAAAATTAATCTCAATTGTAAATATAATGTGATAAATTATAAGGCCTGATTCAACTACTGTGGAGTACAATGGGGCAAGAACTGTAATATTAATGTTATGAAGATTATACTTTTAGTTCACTACTGTGAAAAATTAATTAAAATTGTTATTAAAAGTCTCAGACATTGAAGTCCCAGCCTTTCACTCAGCCATGCACACAAACAACAGACCACTTTACTACTTACCATTTGAGATCTATTTTTTGGGCAGCCATTGATGTCTTCAATCTTTTCATTTGCTGAAAAGCAAAAAAAAATGTGATAAAGCAGAAAACCTAAACCAAAGGCATCTATTTTTTACAATGATTTCCTGAGCACCTGCTCACCCGCTCAGTAAAGGAGTTTTGGATTGTAGCTGTCCAAGCCAAGTGAATGTGTGAAACACTGAGAGCCACAAAAAGCAAAAAAGCAGCTGGAGTTCTCTACTGGGTCATGCCTCCAGAGACAGCTGGGGCAGAAGCCAACTGCTCTAACAACCTCTTGTACTGTGACGGGGAATTCCTTTAAACTACAAGAAAGATGTGAGCTCTAGAAGCTGAATTACTGCTGGGTGGAAAAGTGAGCACTACACATGAAGAGATGTTAGCATGGCAGTTGGTTTGCTTGGAGAGTGAATACACATTTTAAATCCACATGGGAAATTTATGATAACTAATAATATTTTTTTTTTTCCTTTTTTAAAGCACAAATCATTAAATAACTTTTCAAGACTCTTGACCATGGCTTACATGCTACTCCAACCTGCAGAAGAACACAGTTTCCACCTTTAAGGTTAGAGGTGAAACAGTGAAATCCCCAAGGTGTTTGCCTTACATTCTTGAGTTTGCTCAGTTTCACCTTGCAGCCTTGGATGCCGAAATGACTTTGTGTTTGAGTCTGAAGAACCAGTTACAACCGAAGTTCAGTTTCACAGTTTTTTCACTGTAATAAAGGCAAGCACTCACATCCCATTTGATTCATCCATTAAAAGCTGTATTTTCTAGCAGTCCCATGTATTCTGAGGACACCAGTCAGAACTCCATCCCACTTCATTTCCTTGGTTAAGAGGATCACATTTGGCACAATATTTGAGTAGCAGTCATAGCCATGAGAAACAAAGCAGTGACACAACTTCACTCTTGCCTGATAGGACCCCTTTTACATATCCATGTCACAGCACACCTTTATCCCACAGCAATGCAATGAAAAATTGATGCTAATCTGAAAAAGACTGCAGCTAAATCCACAGTGCGCTCCCCAGAGTGGTCCATCAGCCCCTACACGTGAAGAGCACACACTGCTTCCAGGAACACCATCTCAGCTTTGGTCATACAGAAACAAAGTTGCATTCATTAAAGCCCATTTTCCAAGTCCTGTGCACCCATCCTGTAATATTTACCATCTCTCACTTAAGTACCATGAAATATCTCCATCAACTAAATTTATAACACTTTTAAAAATTGATAGTTGTATTCCTATAAATTGGCACCATTCACAATTACTTGAAAGGAGAGTAATGAAATTGTATACAAGCTGTCTCTTGTTTGGGACATGTGTACAGAGACACCTTTAAGAACCTAGGTCAGACCCAGTGTATCTGCATTCATGGATTTAAACGCAGCTACTATGTTTATATGGCATTGCTAAGGCATTCTTTTACATTCTTTTACAGGCTCATAAATTTTGAGCTGAAATGAACCAGAATGATATGAATACATTTTAACTGCCTCGCAAATAGTTGCTTTTACACATAGCACACCATAACATAAAAGACCCTCTCCTGCACTGCCTATCAAAGCTTTCTTACTATGTAGTTAGGAAAAAAAGGATGGATTTTGCAGGCTATAGATAAAGCTGCTTCTAGATGTGAAAGCCCTCCTCATCTTTGTGACAATGATATGCAGCTGCCTAAAAGCCATGCACAGAAGATACAAATTACTTTTCTTCATTATTAATGTGGAGGATTAAACTAGAATGTTTAAATATAACCTTTCTTTCACATGAAAAAGGTGATTTGAAAAAGAAATACTTCCCCTCCTACCCCAACTTTTGAAACCTTGCAGACCTTATCTTAAATATTAGCCAAAAGGTAGTTATAAAAATTACGAAAAACCCCAAACCTGCAAAGGTGATCAAAGCAATAATTGGTTAGGTATTTTAGAACGAGTAATTTGAATTTCATATAAGTTTTCACAAGTCAATACTCAAAGAGATACATTTAAATATTTGGTAGAAGGAACCACGTCCACATTTTGATGGTGGTATTCTTGCACACATGCTCTCATGCAGAAGTTTCCTACAACTGTGTTAAGGCAGGGTAGCTAGACAGGCATGAAAGGAATCAACATGTAACTGCTCCCAAGTTTCCAAAAACCTTTCCTATTAAAGGAAATGGATATAGGAAGGAGCATTGTTCATAGTGAATACCTGTCGACACATAATCATAAATTAATTCATGGCCTGTTTTTACACCTCTGTAACTGCACGGCAGGTCTAAAATGCTACTGAGATATAATGTTGCTCTACAGCAGAGACACAAAATCTTATTTTAACATATCCCAGTAGAATCACTGGAAGATGCTTCACAGTGTCATTCCAGAACAGTGCTTGTAGATCCCTACCTTAAACCCAGAACTAGCTCCCTTACAGCATCTCAAACACATGTAATAAATATGCATGCACTGATGTCCTGTTCCTTCATTGCAGGCTTCTTAATTTGCATCTTAAATCTGTCAGTTTGCTCCTAACAATGGTTGTCCTAATTCCCATTAGCAGGCTTTCCCATTCCATCCATCTCCATTGGCCCATACATGTGTTTTGTGGCATCCCCAGCAATAGATGGATGAGCCTTTGAAGGAACTAATGAAGGATCCAGGCCCAAGGGAAGAGGGACAATATGCAGCACTACATGAAAATTTTTCAGACCTTTCAATATCTATGAGCATTAATGCACTAATTTAAGAGAACTAAAGGCTTTGGATAAAATTGCACTTGAGATTTATTCTAATGGTAAGTGATTTTCCTCATCTGAAAGCTCATTATGAAAGATTTCTTTTTCTGCCACACAAATATTAAACCCCTTCTCCTTTCCCAGCTGTATATATGGATCTCCCAAATCCAACTGGAAGGCAGGAGGTTCAACACAGGAGGCAATATCACTGTGAATTATATTTAGACCAGTACTGAAGAGGTATTAGAAATAGTGAGGGCTAACTGCATCCTACCAGAAAAAAAGTATCTCATGAGCTGTTTTTTAACATTCAGCCATGTGGAATAATATTGCTATGTATTACTGCATCAACATCCAATATTTTTCCACTATAAGACAAGGCTTTTTCAAATTAATTAGCAAAACCTCTGAAGGAAAACGATCTATATAATTCTATGCAGTTTGATGGATTTCCCCTCATGCACTCTGTGTTAGTGTAGAAGATTAAAAAAAGGGATTGCCTGAGCGAGCTGGTGGATACTTGGCAATGAACACAGAAAGCCACTCACCTACAACTTGGATTATTTCAGCTAGCAGGACTCCATCAGTCACATCTTGCTGTAGATCCTTTATCAACCTTTTGTGACCAGATTTTGCTAGATAGTGATTAGCCCAATCAGTATAAATCTGTTAGGAGACAGACAAAAAAAAAAATAAACTGTTACTCATAACACAACCTGAAAAATGAGAATTCTTTGTACCCCCCAGTATCCAAAAGGTTGATTTCGGAATTTCAGATCACTGCTTTTTTTTTTCACCTCTTTGAAACAAGTCAACAGCATTAAAATTCAAGGCCTTGTGCAGATCAAGATTTCAGCTTACTCTAGTATGGATTTTTCTATTCAGCAACCTGACATCAAAGCTCAGGGCAGATGACAGCAAGCTCCTGAACATGTTACAGCTTGAATGGACCATCAGGAAGTCAGCAGAATATTCTACAGCAGCAGTGTGTGCACAAGAGATTTCAATTTCCACACAAGTTTTTTTTTTTTGCATTTTCCTTTTGACGTTTTTTTCTTCATAGCTGTTATCGAGAAAGTTTTAAAGGTTCTTTTCCCAAAAACACTTCTGGTGGATATTAGTCATACAGCAGTTTAATCATGAGGAAACTCCTTTACTGTATTACCAGAGTAACCTTTAAAGGTCCTAAATAGCCACCAATTCTAATAAATTCCATCTCACAGGTTAAACAGGCCTATTAAATAATTTTTAATCTGTTATGCAAACTTCCAGCTGTTGGAATTTATTTCAAAATGTATTACCTGAAAACTAAGCACACAAAGCAGTCAAAATGTCTCCCTAATTTGCACTAAGTGTAAGAACTGAACCTGCTGGGATGGATAGTGGCTTAGCTCATGTGACTTGTACAGAAGGCATTAACCTGAGACCTGGGAGGCGGGGTACTGAAAGGATGGAAATGAGGATGCTACTGGGATCATTCCATAATAGCTCATGTCCCTGGTCCATGTTCACAATTGGACCCCTGCCCTCAATTATCCCTGTATATTGTTAAATTTGCCACACCCCTGGTCTTTGGAGCTTGCCCCCAGAATGTGTGGTTTCTACGGTTTGTATTTTGTCATCATTAAAGTATTTTGGGTAACTCCATCATTCCTGTCCCTCCATTTTGCCATGCTTGCCCAGCCAGACCAGACTCAGAGTCACAGCGAGCCGACTGTGCCAATTAAGGTCTGCTTCATCATATGCCAGCACAACTTATTCAAGATTGCCAGAAAACTTCTAAAAACTTTTCATGCTAGATTATCCAAAAGAAGCTAAATTACTTCATTAGGAATTTCTGCTTATGAATTAAATAACAGTATTCTTTACATAGGACAATATTCCAAATAAAGATTTTGTTAAATTACCTATTATGCTCCAAAGAAACAGGGTAAAAACAATTAAATATCAGGATTTTACCTTTTAAATATCTAAATATTAATGTTCACTCCTACTCTGAAGAATGTCTAGAATATTGGAAACACATTCATCCCAATCCAGTCTATCAGTAAGCAGATGTAGATTCAGTGTGCTTCCTGGAACATGAGCTATGCCAACCCTCACAGACCCTACAAACCCCTGTGGGGATGACAAATGCCTCAATACCAGTGTGTGAATTATTGACCCTGAGGGAACAACAGCATTCAGACCCCAAAAACACAGGGAAAGCCCCCCCTGTGCACTGCCCAGGAAATACTGTTTTCCCTCACAGCCACAGATAGATAGAACGAAAAGAGCACCAGGAGAGGGGTGGCTTTCCAAGCTGAACAACTCCAGCTTTAGGAGAGGTGCTGCAGCCCTCTGATCATCTTCATGAACCTCCTTTGCACTTCAGTAGCTCCACATCCTTCTTATCCTGCGGGCCCCAGTGGTGAGCAGTGCAGATCCTCTAAATCACTGACCCACAGATACTCATTTCAGAACCATCTCAAGCCTTGGATTTCCAGTGCCGTGATGATGTTCTCCTCCACGGGAATCAAGAGCCAGCTGCCAAGTCTAGGGAGCAAGTATTTACTGCAAGACATAGGAATCTGGATGTAATACAAGGATTATGGATGCTGAATGCAAGAAAGCAGTCAGGGAGCACAGTGTCTGTGTGAAACTAAGTCACACAAGGTTCTCACTCTGGCCTGAGAAATCATAAGGAGGAATCCAAACAGTCCTTGGAGAAGAAAAACAACATTTGCAGGTATTTTTTGGATACCTGTTGTTCACTTGGAAGAAACAGTCAAAGGGTGTAGTTGTCCAATGATGGTGATGTGTTGGTTTAATGACCAATGTGAGTTTTTACCTCTTGGACCTTCTCAGACCTGTCTATAAATGGAGATCAGGAATAATAAAACTTGCTCTCCTGTACAACCACAAGAGAGTCTGTGTCGTTACTTTCGCCATTCCCAATATAATGCGACACAAGGATTGTAATTTCACACTCCTCTTGCACTTGCTGATTCAATGTTAAAATGATAAAATGAAGAACAGAGGTTTTGACTAGAGTTTTTGTTATAAAGTCTTCATTTCTGTTGTTGTTTTTTTTAAACCTGTAAAACACAACTGGTCACAGCCATGAAAAAATCACTTAATATCTGAAAGATATGCCCCTATTTTCCACCATTTATCCTTTACTTTCCCCTTCAGAGCAGCAGGATGTGCACTTCCTATGCCAACAGCGTCATGGGCTTAAACAGAAAAGCACACTGGAACACCTTTGTGGAAATAAAACCCCCACAACTGAATAACATCTCCATGAAATAAAGGCTGAGCACACATGAGTGATTTCCCCAGATGACCAAGAAAAGAAAAGGGACAAAAACCCCACACTGCACAAACCAGACATTGTGTTCCTTAGCTCCTTTTACAAGAAAACATTTTCCATAACAGGGAAATATTTTAAAGCATTCAAAGACTTCAAGGAACTAGGATTGACTTAACCTACTTTTCTGCCACATGGTTTTAGCTTTCTTATTGAGGAGTGAAGACGTATGAGTAAAACATTTACCTTGCAAGTGCAAGGGTCCACACCCCCCACGCCATCCCTGCAATTCAGATGACAAGGAACTTATCAAATACAATAACCATGTTTCCTTTAATGGGAGGGCTGTAATGAATGTCCTAATTTATCACTGAAGGACTTTCAGAAAATTTAAGATTATAGTTTGATGCATCGGTTCCATCCTGGATCATTTCCATGATGCAGATCATCATGCAGTCAGACAAATTCTTGGATCAGTCCTAGACCTAAAACAGGAGCAGACCCCTCCTGGCAGAGCCTGAAATCACAGCAACAGCAAGACCTTGAGAGCTAGTTAGGATTGATTTTTAAGTCAAATAACAGCATGAGAATGCATGGCTGGTATTGCAAAACTGCTCTCCTGTACCTGCTTCCTACTGCCCTAATTCCTGTTGCACCCAGGAACACCAGATCTTATATTCATACCATGGAAATAAACAGACTGCATCAAAGAAATCCCTGAAGTCCCTTAAATCCTCCTGGAAAAGGATACAACTTGAAAAACCCCAAATACTAGCTGCCTGATTCACTGCCTATGATAACACATAATGAAATCCCCTCTGATGGCAAATTATTCTTGTAAACCACACTTCAGGTGCTGAAGTCAGCCTCCTACAAGCAGAGCTTTTATGCTTATTATGAAATGAATATCAGTATGGAGGAAATATTTGTTTCTGGGGTATTTAAGTGTGTGGAATATCATTTCATTCCACTACTTGATTAGGAGAGAATTTAACAGGAAAATACAGATATAATAAACCTGTGCTTCTCTTAAAAATGTTATCACACAACATTATTTTGCAATATACTTAACATGCAAATTATTTTTTTTTAACTGCCTGGGCTATATATTTACAAGCTCTGAAGCATTCTTAGGGATACAGTATTACCCAGACTTACTGTAGTAGCTCCTCATGGTCACCACTGATTTTTATGGCATATATTAAAGCTAATCATTGAAACTTTCCAGGATGTTTTGGAAACCTGTTTGTTTCAAGTCTTTGTAATGTACGACACAAACAGATTTCTAATGTTTCTTTTCCTTTTCCACAAAAACAAGTGGAAAAAAAAAATATTGCACAATGGCTGCTATTTCCAGACACATGAAATACATTTCAAAGCACACAGTGTTTTCAAATGTTCAAAACCAGGCAAATAATTGGAAAAACAATAATAAAAGAACTAAGAAAACACTGCTGAGAAACCTTCCGTTTTCCTCTCTCTGCACATCAATTATGAGTGTTCCTCAGGTATTTTCAGCAAATGGGTATGAAGTCACGTGCTTGAATATTCATGTGAAAATGACCTTTGTTGAACTGTTGTCTAATTAAAAATATAAAAATCTTGTGATATGAAATATTCAACCCACTACAACCCAATACTGCCTTACTATAAATACCAGTATTGACTTTTAAAACTTTTTAGTTTTTTCACACAGTATGAAAATCACTGGAGCCAGCTTCCTTACTTTTGTTCCAAAAATCAAGTGAACATGGTGATTTGGGCACTATCACCATAAGCAGGTCTTTGTGTCCAAGTCAGGTTAATGTTTAACTCAGGTCTAAGTCACAGCTTTTGTTAAAGGTGGACTCAGCTGTGTGGTAGTTTTTTTTTTCTCTCTGTAGTGTATGATCTTAGGAATCCAGTTATCTGGGAACAAATTAAAAACGTATGTGAAACATTTTCTTCTCTCTTTTTCTCTCCCCCTTTGATCCAGCAGATTTGAATTAAGAGCACTACAGTTAAGTATCAATTTTGGAAATATTCAGTACATTATGAGTCATAGCTAAAGCACTAAAAAGCAGTGAAAAAACCAGCGAGGTTTGGGGAAAAAAAGAATCCAAATTCTAAAGATTTTGTAATGTCTGTAAAGAAAATGGCCTGAACACTGTCTTCCATCAGTAAGATTGAAGAATTTTGAAATTTAATGGAGTTTCTCCCCATTGCTGTTTCCTTAGCCTCACATCTGCTTCTTTAAAGTACATTTCAGATGAGAGAGGAATCTTGCTTTCCAGCCAGGAAACCCCTGAAATTCCCTGGCACTCCAAACCTTCTGCAACATTTCTGGCTGTGCTAACAGAGCACATCCACCACAGCCCAGCACACCTGAGCCTGCCCT